AACTGAGTTTGCATTACTAATTTAAAGGAAAAAAAAAAGGAAAAAAGAGAAAAAAGAAAAAGGGAAAAATTACACAGAAAAACAAGAGACAGAGAATGAATCCCAGACTGAGTATGGAACTGACATCTGACTGCCATATTACTATTACTGGCAACAAGCACGTGCAGTGACAAACAATAGATTCTCAGGATTCGTAATGATCCAGTTAAGTGGTGATGGAAATGTTTTCCTTCAAACACAGTCCAAACAACTTCTCAACACTGCATGGCACAGCCAGAGAAAGGGCTTGGACAGGAACAGGAATCCCAGGCTGCAGCTCAAGCATCTTTTTAGGTAAGACATTTCTGTTGTAACAAGCACAAAGATAGTCTTTAGTAGTCCCTCTTTCTCCTTCTAAAATCCAGAGATCTTTTAAAATTAGGGAAACATCTTCGAAGTATGTAGCTACATCTGTCTCCTTGGTAAGTGACATAGATTTATTAGAGCTGCAGGGCTCTGCACACTTCTCACAGTTGTCAGAAATCGTGAGAGTGGGTCCTTGGCTGTTCAAGTTTCTTCCAGCTTAACACACTCGCAGTACAAACGCCACACAACCTACTCCCAAAATACTCCTTTCATCAGGCACACACTAGACTCTGGGCTCAGAGTATTTGTCATGGGACATGCGTTTACAGCAAGTCAGCAAACTGTGCATCAGCTACTCTTCCTTAGGGGCTTGAGATCCACCACAGGCTTGTCCTGTTCTCACACTTTGCCACCAGCAGTAACAGGATACTGAGCAACAGGCGCTTCAGCTTCCACCAGCTGCACCCTTCTTCACCCCAGCACAATGAAGTTGTGATACAGCAAAGGCAACACCCCTGATCAGCCACAACACAGCACAGCTGGGGCTCCCCTGCTCTGCAGGTCTGTAAAAACAAGCTTTTCATCACAACCCTGAGAACAGCAAGCACTGCCACACAAACCAAAGACGTGCCAAAAACAAATGCCTGAGAGAAGAGGAGGGGGTTCTCCTTTGCAGGCGTTTCAGGAGTTTGCACAGCATTATGCAAGTTAAAGTAATTTTCTGTAGTAGGCACGACTTAAGTTATGATTTAATTTATGCTTTAACAATGCTTAACCAGCATGGCGGGGGCTTTATTCTGGTTTTAGCCATGTGATGCACCAACCCATGAGAGGAGGAGTAGAGAAACTGGCTGTGTTCCATGTAGGAGTTTCTCTTTGCACATCGCTATCTGCTGGCTCCTGGAATTGCCCATCTCCCTTCTAATACCACAGGCACAGACAGTAATGAGTGAGCTCTCCTAAGTGGATCTCAGAACCCTTCATTACACAGCATGTCACCCTACAGCTACCTTAGAGTGACACACCTTAATAATTAAGAGCTTTAACTCATTTAGTTAATTCTTCACCAGGGATGGCCAAGACAGCATCTGCATCAGCAATACAAAAAAATCCCCCCAAAAAACCCCAAACTAAAAAAACACAACCCCCCAACCCTTAAATTACCTGTTTGCAATGATCAAACTGGGTTTATAACACCATCACTCACCACATCTGCCAGTTTAGGAAGAGGCTCTACATCACGCTGCTTGCATTATAAAAATAAAGCTCTCTTTCCCTCATACCCAAGCACCTCGATGCTTTTGAGAAGGAACCTGACACTTGGATAAAAACAGCTGGCATGTATAAATACATGTAGCCTCTGGCCAAACCTCTGAAAATATATAAACATTTGGTAACTATGTTGTTTTTAAATGAGTTTACGAACACTGGGATTCACAAGAGTAAGCCAGTATGCACAATTTCTTGGGTGCAGACACAAGTGAGCAGCAGTACTCTGGATTATAAATCACAATCACAACTAGCAATAAAAAAGGCAGGGGAACAAGTATGTACTAAAACAGGAGCTGGGCTGTAGAATCCCAGGGACTGGATTCAGCAGTGCAGACAAGGAAGAAAGGATGCAGACACAGGTACAGGAAAGGACTTGCAGCAAAGGACGTGGGGAGCTAAAGGCCTTCAAGGGATACTAGAGATAAGACACTACAGCCTGAAGAGGACACTGGGAACGTGAAGGAATGTGGGACTAGCACAGGAAGAAGCCAAAAGTGCAACCAAATGTTAGGTCTTTAATGGCTCTCATGTTTGAGTCAGGTGCTGCCGGATCAGATGAACAGCTAAAAATCCCTGGAGATACGTCCTCACTGAGCAGGTGAAAAATCTCACAGCAACCAAGGTTGACCAGTTCTACCCCAGTCACATTTTGCACTTCATTTAATCTAAGGAGGCTCTGGAGTAGGCTGGCCAAGGGCAGAGCCACAGGCACAAGACAATGGATTAGAAGTTGATGTACACTCCATCCCCCTCTCCTCCAGGGCCCTCTCCTGGTCCTCCCTCAGTGAGCTGTAGGATGACTGCCAGCTGCCCTCCTTGGCAGGCTTTGTGCAGCTTTCCCTCTGAGACAGGACCTGGAGCTGGCCCTCCATCTCCCACCCCTGTTTTGGATACATTAGCTGTCACACCAGCCAGCACATGGAGAACAGCCCAGCTCTGATTGCTCCAGTGTCTCACACAGCCACACAGGAGAACCAAAAGCAAAGTCTGTCTCTCCCATGTTCCCAATGCCAACCCTTTCCAGCTGCTAAGGAATTTCTTACAGGAGATGGTGCCATTTGGATAAGGGAAGTGTGAGCTATTCAGAGAAACAGTGGAAAAACTGCCTGTGAGCAGCTGGTTAGGTACAGCAACAGTTTAGGTAAGGGAACAGGGCAGAACAGCCTTGGAGGAACAGCAAAAGGCACACTGGGACAGAGCAGGGTGAAACACATGGGGGTGGTCATTCCCTGAGGATACAGTGTCATTGGATCAGTGACCAATGGAAAAACTAGAGAGAGAGGATTCACTTTGGCAAAGGAAACAGAGCCAGGAGAAAGATGTATTCTTCCTACCCCAAACATGTACCTCCAAGGAATGCCGAGCATCCCCAACCTTTGCCAGGCTCCCAGACAGAAACCCAGGGACAAAGGAGGTGTGACACTGAACTTCATATCAAATCAGAGCTATTGCACAAACCGTACAACCCTTTAGCAAGGCTGCTCTTCAACAAGGCACTGCCTCCCATCCCAGATTCACTGAAGCCTCTGCACATCACACAACGTAACTACAATATTTCATTAAGAAACAATTTGCACTCAAGAAGAGCAAAAGGCACTCCAGAACTGGAAATGGAAGCACCAAAATTCATCATGCAGCAAGCTTCACATTCTCGCCTCAAAACCTTTTGTGCCACAAGGCAACATGGAAAATGAAAACGAAGCCAGCTGAGTTCTTAAATACAGGTCTTTAGCTAAATCCAAGAAAACTCCCATTATTAGGGCAATGCATTTGGTTACAGGGATCCTTAAGTTCTGATTTAGCGTTAAAAAACCCTCAACCTCCTCACCCAAGTAACAAATTTCAGAGAACTTTCCACTCTGTGAAGTAGGTCCAAAATATTAACAAATGCAAAATAATTTGTAAAAGTTGATATAGGCTGCCCTGGAAATGAAAGTGAGACAGCACTTAAAAAATCTGTAGTGCCTTACTAGTGCTGTTATTATTTAACCTACAGAGATGTAATTCGATAAAAGGTAATTTAATTTACACATCTTGGGATATGAGTAATTTGATATGTTGTTTACTGTCCAAATCCATACAAATTCACTCGGGATTTCACTTATCACCCCTTAAAAAAACCTAACAACAAACAAAACCAACAGCCAGTATTAAGCAGTGATCTTTAAAGCCTCTATGGTGGGGAAAAAACCCCAACTTTACCCATTTAAGCAGGCTTTAAACACGTTAGTTAGCATGGTGCCGCTGGTAAGTGCACAGCCAACCCTAGAATTTCCAAATCTCCTGGATGTCAGGGTTCAAACAGTGAGAGATGTAAACTGACCTGGCTGAGACACCGCGGTGGCAGTAAACTGAGTAGCCCAGGGGGGATTCTTCTGTCCTCCAAACTGAGCCATGGTGGAAGGCAGGATCTCCCGGGGTCTATCTCCTGTAACTGCAATCTAGTGAAAGAGAGCACAGCTGCAGTCTTTGAAAAACACACCGCCGGGTTACTTTAATTCTGAGCCGCAGGAAAAAAAAGTCCAAACAAAAAAAAATAGACAGGAAAAGAAACAAAAAGCGTGGAAATACCAGCCTTACGCCCCTAAAACCTGGCGGGCAACATGCGCCACGTGCGGGAAACACAGAAAGCTGTGAGACAAGTTATTTTACTTTCCTAAGGCACGACCTCCATCCCCCTCGTCTTAACAATGGGACTAACGCTATTTAAACGCACAGATGCGTTTCCGTGTCAAGGGGCGCTAAGGAAAAGGTGACTCTGCAGGATCTCTCCGAGCACACACTTCACATCTCGTTACTCTCAGTCCCCGGGCCGCGCTCGGCTGCGGCGGGGCCGCGCCGCCGGCGCTCCCGCACGGAGCGGGCCGGGCCGCTCCGGCCGCACGGGAGGCACGACCGGCCTGTGTCCCCGTCCCGCCGCCTCAGCCCCCGCTCCCCGCCCGCCTGCGCCGGGAGCGCTCTGGGCCGCCCGCGGCCGCGTGCCCGGGAGAAAGGCACGAGCAGGCAGCTGCCGCGCGGGAACCGGGGCCTCCCCCCCCTTCCTCCTCCTCCTCCTCCTCCTCCTCTTCTTCCTCCTCCTCCTCCTCCTCCTCCCCCCCCGCCGCTGCCACCGCCGCCTCGGCCGGCGATGCGGGCCCGCGCCCCCTGTGCCGGTGCCGGCCCCGGTGCCGCCCCCGCCCGGCCCTGCCGCGGTACCTGCGCGAGGCCGCGCCGCCATCGCCGCCCGCGCGCTCCGCCCGCTCCGCGCAGGCGCCGCCGCCCCGCGCGCGTCACCGCCCTGCGACCGCGCGCGCCCGGCCCTGCCGCGTGCGGGGCCCGCGCGGCCGGGGGAGGGGCCCCGCCGCCATCTTGGGCGAGGCGCGCGCGGGCGGGGCCGCGGCGCCGCCATCTTGCGGCGGGGGCCACCCTGAGGGGGCCGCGGGCACTGCCCCCCGCCCCGCCGAGCGCTGCGGTGCCAAACACTGTCCCTGCCGGACACGGGCGGCCCCCGGGCACCCGAGGGCCCACAGTGCAGTCGGGCTGTTCTGAGGGGACACACACACACACACACAGGGTCACCTGATGTGAAGGCAGAGCAGACTCGCCAAAGAGATGCACCAAAGCTCTTTAAGTTGCTTTGAAACAGAAATGGCAGCCAGGACTCTGCAGTAAGTAGTTCAGTGCTTCATGGGCAAGAGTCATTTCTCACCCCTCGCCTGATGCTGTTGAAAAGAGCCTTCCATCTGAGAAATGGTTCTTTACACGGGTTTGCCTTGAAGTGAAATAGGACATGGAATATTTACATTTGAGAGTAAGTCAGCAAGGCACACTTTGTAGATGAAGATGGGGCTTTGAAGTGTTATATTATTATTAAAAACAAGTTGGTGGTGGGATGCAGTCTTGAGAGGCAAGTGTCAGACTGATTTGCAAAAGACCCTCAGATGAAGGTAAATTTCTGCTAGCATTTGGTACTCAAATAAATACAGATCTGCCTTCGCCCTTTATATTGCAAATTAGATGAGGGTTTCAGTGTTTCACACTCATAAGCGTAGTTCTTAATTTTTAAGTCTGCACATTTTAAACCTTATTCCTCTCATAACTCCATCGAGCTCAGTCAGTTGACTAAGGCAGAGTCTGCACCCTTTAACTTCGAGATAAGATTAGAGGCTGAAAGGGTTGCAGGACCTCCCTCCCACAATATACATGAAAAGGGCAGTGGCAAAATTGTATTAAAGGAGAAAATACTTGTCAGTGAATGTCAGAATATTGTGTAAGTAGCTCCATTCTGCAGTCTTTTAGCCCATTTTTTTAGAAGATTCATCACTCTTAGGGATGCTCTCAAAGCCTCAAAAGCTCACAGGAAGTACAAGCCTCACAGGTAGAACGTTTCTTCATGTACTTTCTCCCTTCTACATACACATTGCTACCATTAGCTGGCAGATTTTGCCACTGCCATTTATAGTGCACTAATGACTCCTTTTGAATTCTTTGTCTCCTCTGCTCAAGACAAACCACACTATTGTGGTGAAGAATAGTCGTAATGGAAGTGGCAGTGAAAAAATTTGAGCACTTCTAGTCTTGCTGCTTAAAATAACTCTAGGCACCCTGACTATCTTTTAAGTGCATTGGACAATTTAATCCAAAATTGATGAGAGGACAGGAGTCTGAAAGAGATGAGCTTTCTACAAGCTACCTTAAAATAATGAGGCAAGTTGAGATAAAGTTACAGATTTAAAGGCAAAAACCATAAAGCATATTGTTGCTTCCAGCTTTCTGGGTGGTTCCGAGAGTTAAGAATAAGCTGGGGATATTGTGGAGAGAAGTGATAATTTTTGGAGCTTGTAATCAAAGAGCATCAAACATATTTTGGCACAATCAATACACTTAACGAAGAGGAACGGGAAAGCACAAAGAAGAGAACTTTGTACCAGGAAACGCTGCAGTTCAAGTAGTGAATACTTTGGATCTCTGGCTGTGGCTCAGGAAAGCCAGTGAGTCCACCTGTGGCACCTTCCACAGGGCTGTACCCCCAGAAACAGGTCTAACTGTATTTGTACACATATTTAGGGGAAATAATTGGAGGACAAATTATAATCTTCTAATGAACGTGCTTTTGACAACCTGTACCACTGATAAGACACAGAAATTAGCATTTCAGACTTAATGTGCAGCTCCTGGACAGGAAGGAACAGAGATCAGTACCTGGGCATGCTGTATCTGTCCAGGTAAATGCCAGTTACAGGGAGATGGTTATTTCACTCAATTCTGAGGATGTAACAACTCTGATGATGCAAGATTATTATATTATGGGGATTTTTTTCATATTCTTGTTGGAAATACATTTCTGTGCATCCTGTTCAATTCCAGAATTAACTTCCAGGTCTATACATGTCAGTACTGGAACCTGCTCTTTGTAGCTGTTGAGGAGTTTATTTATGCATTCTCTTCAGAGGGCCAGAAGAGATCATCCAGAGAGTCAAACACACTTTTACCCTTCTAGATATCCAGAAATGGCAGCAACAATTCAGTTAACGTTTTTTTTGATGCTAAAGTTGTAGTACAAGTGCAGCATATAAGCATCTAAGCAAATTACCATAGTTTTTTTCTTGCATAAAAACTTCTGTCTTTATGACCATAGCTGTATGTACTTTGCATTTTCCCAAACATGTGACACAGTTAGTACTGAAGTTTGATAATAAATCTAAATAAACTTAAGTTTGTTACATACTGCTATACAAAGTGTTTGACAAAAATATTTCTGAACTGGCCAGACCCCTCAAGAATACAGGAAGGACATCATAGAGTTAAATCAACCTGTTCAGGCTTAGCTGTGTGCAAACAACATTTACTTGTTTGTTTGTTTTTAAGGGTCCCAGGAGGGAAAGGGTTTTATGGTCCACTATATTGGAATAAAATTAAATGCATTGAGAGTGGACTTCTGACAAAGTTTACTTGAGTACAAATGCTCTGGCATAAATAAAACAATTCTTAATTGTTTTGAAGGTAATAGACACTGGGAGCACAAGGAAACTTTTTCATCTTAATATAAGAGAATTTTTTTTTCAGTGAGAGCAATCGATGCCTGGGAGAACCTCCCCAGAGACGTGGTGGAGCCCCCATCACTGGAGGTTCTCCAGACACTGTGGGGAGGGAGCTGGATAGTCCCTTCTGGAATCCCTTTTCCACAAAACGTGGGAGCAGGGGATCTTTTGAGGTTCCCACCAGCCTGGGGTGTTGTGTGAACATCACATACCATTTATTTCACTGGTAAAGGTCGCTGTCTAAGGGAACTGGTGGTGACCCAGGAAAATCATGTGTTCAGAGAAGGGAATCTTAGCCCTTCAGGAAAGCTGTTAGCATTTACTGATGTTGCAAAGGGAGTTAAGATCCGAGTCTGAAAATAGTCCATTAAGAATTTTAATGGAAGGACTTCTACCAAATGGCATGTTTGTAGATTTTAATCAAAGCCTTTACCATCCTGAGTTAAAAAATTGCAGCCTTACAGCACAGAGAGAGGGCAGTAAAGTCTGTACAGCTCCTCAATAGTGAGTTTCTGTCACATCTCTCATCTGTTGTATACATTTGTGAGATTGGATGCCCTTGGAACTATTTCATTACATTTGTGTTAAAAAGACCTGTATTTGACAAAAAGTTGGTGCATCCTGAATTCCAGTTGGTCCTAGTATGCCAGAGGGCTGAATCCTGGATATTTTCCACACCACTGCACTGCCTGTTCCATGCAGGAGTTTGAAAAAAAAGCTTTATTAAGGTTGATAGTTGTTCATAGCTGTTCTATATGAGCAAGTAAACATCTTTTCCTAACAAGTATATAATAAATTTTTTTTCCAAATTGTCCCATTTGACACTTCAAAATTAAAAAAAAATAAGAAACAAACAAACAAACAACACTCTTATGTTTGAAAAGGTGTACTGGAAGGAAACCCTTTTGAAAATTGTTTTGTATGATCGTAGTTAATGCTGAAAATACAGAGAAACACATTTCTTGCAAAAGGGAGAAATTTTAATCTCTTAGGAGTAGGGTAGTTTCCTAACTAAAATCGGACAGATTTCGTTTCAAATGTTATGACTTTTGGTTTTACTTAATCATTTAGCACTAGACTTTAATCAGAAGCACTTAGCGGAGTCTTACAGTTCTTCGAAGAGCATAAGATCATTCTTTATCTTTTTATAACCAAGCATAAAATACGCTTTTCTTTCAAGTTGTCCCATTTGAAGAAGAAAATATGAATGTTAGTTTACTGTGGAGGTTTCCTGCGTAGGGTTAGAGCGAGCTATAATGTTTGTATAATTCCTCATAATTCATGGAAGAAAAAGGACGTAATTCACATTGCCCAGGGCCCACAAGAACAGTGGCCCTGCATGAAGGCAGGTTTTGCTTTCTGTTTTTGTTTTTCTGAGTACCCAGCTAGTTAGAGCTCACAAGAGCTAGGCCTAAGGAGGGCTGTTATGCAGTGCCACACCTGAGCCACTTATTTCTTACCCTCACAGAACAAGGTAATTTGCAACAGCCCAACAAATCAACAAATCCCACTCTTGAAATCTGTAGCAGCTGTAACCCAGGTGAGTCCTTACAAGGCTTTCTGCTACTGGGGAGGTGAGTTAAGGTCTAGCATAGAAATGTTTGCTTGATGAAGCGCAGCACTGGTGCCTCATTTCCCAGAAGGGATTCCTCAAGTGGAGGGAGTCAAAGTCATCACCATGCAAAACCAGACTCTGTGTAAAACAAAGGGGTCACAAGAAGCTGAACTGCTGACTTGTTATGCCACAGAAAACAAAGGTTTAACTGTTCTGGGCTGCAGAGTAAGGCTAAGTCATGATGCCTCCAGCAGCAATTCAGGACTCCTTCAGGAGCAAACAGCAGGGAAGTTTTACCCAATTACATTACAAATGGAGATGTACACGTGGTGTAGCAGGATTGTAATGAATTTTTGGCCTGGTATAAAAAGACATTTTCAAGAATTTAGCTGTTAAGAATTTTGTATAAATGGTGTATATCACAAAAGCAAAAGAGTATCCAGAAGTAAATGGGTTGGACATGGAACTGGAGGCCCATCTTGGGAATTGTGCTCCAGCCAATGGTTATTGAAATAGTTGGGTTCGAGTTTCCACATTTTAAATATTTTTCCAGTGTGTCGTAGATTAAAAACACAGATGGAGATTGCTGGCATTTTATTTTAGACTACGTAGGCCGTTTCTTGAACCAAAACACTAATTGAAGCACTGTCTTGCTCATGTTTAAATAACATTTGAATACGATGCTTGTTCTGATGTACAAAATGCACCGAAAGTACACTGTTTTGGTGAATAACCTTTTGAAGATGTAAACTGATACTAGATATTAAATATTAACAACAGTAATCGGCACAATTGAACAGGTCAAACCCTGCCATTCTATAATCTGTATTAGGTACTGGAGTACTGCAGAAAACTGTAACTGTAGCACCAGCAAAAAAGCTTATTTGCAGATTAATTGATTAACAATACCATTTTAATAGGCATTGTAATCTAAGGCTGTAGCATCTTAAGAATTTAAAAGCAACTACCTGTACTACGTCAGTGTTCTGTTACCTGCATCATTTATATAAAAAAGCACTGAAGTCACCTCCAGTACCTGAAAAGGAGCTGGAAGCCGTTTCTCATCGACATC